GGAGGTGGAAAGAATGGTATACTTTACTCTATAAAGTAGACTTCTCCATTTTCGGTATAGGCCATCTCCCAGTTTTGAGGCAGAGGACCTAGATTATCCTCTGCGGAAAGAGGTAGGTGCTGAGGGAACTTCTGAGAAGGGTCCGTGATGGGAGCAGCAACGAGGCTACTATTCACAGGCGCAAGAGCTGCTTCTTGGAGAGGGTGCTCGTCCTGGTCCCCAGAATCGGCTGTTGGGTCAGGTCATGGGGAGAGAGAGAGAGAGAGAAAGAAAGAATAAGTACAAACACACTCAGCATCAGAACACAAGCCTGGGTTATATGACACTGTGCACATCTATCTTCTTGGCCCTCATCCTTCCCTGATCGCTGGCCATTAACTAGGACTTCTGTTTTGCTTTGACAAATGTTGGGTAGCATTTGAATGACCACTCTCGAGAGGTGTGGCTCAGTGTCGGATCACAGGAGCATGTCACTAGCAGGTTTGAGGCCCTAAATTCGACACACACATGCACACGTACACACACATGTATACATACACCCCAACAGAATTTATTTTACTTATTAAGAAAGAGGAGCTGGACATGGTGGTGCACACCTGTAATCCCAGAGACTTGGGAGGCTGAGGCAGGAGGATTGCAAGATGAAACCCAGCCTCAGCAACTCTGCGAGGCTCTAAGCAACTCCGTGAGACCCTGTCTCTAAATAAAATATAAAAGGGCTGAGGATGGGGCTCAGCGGTTAAGGGACCCTACGTTCAACCCACAGTACCAAAAAAAAGAAGAGGAGAAAAACATGGCAGATAATACATCCCTCACCATCTCAGAAATGTCAGAGAAGAAGCCAATTAATAACTCAGACCCGAAAGACTCTTAGACCAAGAAGATCAAAACATGACTAAGACACACTCTCCTTCCGTGGGTACTATTTGGATTGTGACTTGAAAAAAAAAAAAGTTCATGCTGAAAACACACAGATCCGGTGGCTTTTTTATAAAAGTTATCTAAAACACTTCTTTTGGGTAGCTGCTGGCAAAGATCACAGCTGACACATTAAGCTGGAACGTACATAAAAGTTTAGGATAGGGAGACAGCTCTGCCAGTGAGTCAGAATGGAGCCTCTTTTAGAAAGCCCAAGAGGCTGTTCCTGTGAAAACCAAGACAGTTCACCCCCTGCAGGGTGGCGTGTAGGTGGACTGCTGGGACCTGGGTCTCCAAAGAAGGCTCTCAGTGCGTGAGTGTCCTGGCTTCTGATGAACTAGCCACATCCGGGGTGATGTCATCCAAGGGTCCACAGGCAGCACTGCGGACACTCTGGGGCTGGATTTTTATAGAAGCTGATGATAGGAAGTGTCAATCTCCGTGGGCCTTGACGACATAATCGTCAGGGGATGCAGCGATTTTCTATCTCCCGCCGTTCTTCTCTGATAGACATTCCTGCTTTGATGGCAAAAGCAGACTGGAGAATCAGAAAGGACTGTCTTCCATGCTGTCTTCGATGAGGGCTCCCCATGAGACCCCTGGGAACGAAGAGTCTCAAAAACAACCACACCTGCCCCAAATCCATGCCCTAGCCCACGTGGCCCAAGAAAACTGATATAAACCTATCAACCTCCTCCTGGCTCCAAGCCACACTCTTTTCAATTAGGAGTACTGCATCATTTTTTTTTGGGGGGGGGGTAGATGGAAACAATACCTTTATTTTGTTTATTTTTGTGTGTGTGGTGCTGAGGATCGAACCCAGTGCCTCGCCTGTGCTAGGCAAGCGCTCTACCCCTGAGCCACCACCCCAACCCTTTGTTTTGGCCTCTGATGGTCAAGTTCAGGAACACGTGCTGGATGCAGGGTGGACCCACGAAGGAGACGTAGGGAAGTTCTGGCAGAACCGTCAGCCTCTTGATGCTGGGCTTATTTAACTGACAGGTTCTGAAGCTGGCGGCCACATTCCCATTGTAGGCAGTACCTACTGAAGAGTGAAACCCACTCGGAGGAGAGCAGAGATGAAAGGGAGAATGTTCTCTAAGATCCAGGACTGAGCCTTTGATCCACGTCTGGAGTCAAGGTTACCCCTGTCCTCTTCAACTGCCTGGTTCCCCCACCGAGTCACACCTTCCCGCTTACACCAGTGTGAATGGGTTTTACAACTTGCATGAAAAGAGTGCAGATTAGTAGGACAACTATAATTTAAATGAACAAGAAGGAAATTAGGCCAAAACCAAAGAAACCTTTGGAAACTACTCACCAACAACAAAATAGATCCAAAGCCTAGCCATGGTGAAAAGACCCACCGGTAATTCTGTAGAAGCCAACCTACACTCACTCATTTCTGATGTACCTTCTCCAGGGCACACTTTTCACCCTGAAGAGTGTACAAGAATCCCCTGGAGAGCCTGTGAAAGTGCGTATTTCCGGCTCCCTACTCGAGAGAAGAGGTTTGGGATTTGTTTCCAAAATGGGCTTTTGTAAAGCATCTTGCTGATGGAGATTCAGGAGACAGAAGCAGTACAGTCTGAGGAGAGGGATACAAAGAAGTCTCCAAAGAATGCAAAGGGACGTTCCTTGTGTGCAAAGTTCTAACTTCGGCTGGGGCTTGAAGTTGTCATGTTCTAGAAGCCATGGCCAAAATTATGGTTTTTGCTGGTAAGTGGACGGAAAGGGGGAATATCTTGCTCAGTGAAGTAAGCCAAACTCAGAAACTCAAAGGTGAGAAGGGTGGGGGAGAGTGCTGGGGAGTGACATTGGTCAAATTATACCGTTATGCTGTGTGCATGTAGAGCATGTGACAACAAACCCCATCATGATGTGCAACTCTAATGCACTCGTCAAAAATGTGGGGGGAGAAAGAGGACAAAAAAATCTCCTTCTCTGATACAAAACAGAAAGCACAAAAATAAGGTTCGAGTACCCACAGGACAGACTCAAGAATCCATAGCCTTGGGGCCGGGTTGTGGCTCAGTGGTAGAGCCCTTGCCTCTCATGCATGAGGCCCTGGGATCGATCCTCAGCACCACATAAAAATAAATGAATAAGATAAGGATATGGTGTCCATCTACAACTAATAAAAAAAAAAATCCATAGGCTCCGTAATGGCTTTGACTTTGATACATGCTTGGATTTAAAAAAAAAAAAAAATCTTAGCCAGATGTGGTGGTTGCACGCCTGTCACCCCAGCAGCTCTGAAGGCTGCGGCAGGAGGATCATGAGTTCAAAGCCGGCCTCAGCAAAATTGAGGTGCTAAGCAACTCAGTGAGACCCTGTCTCTAAATAAAATACAAACTAGGGCTAAGGAGGTGGCTCAGTGGTCGCTTGCCCCTGGGTTCGATCCCTGGTACCCATCCCCCACAGAAATCTTTAATTCATGAAATATTTGGGAGCACTACTATCATCATCTAACCGAAGGTCGACAATGAATGAATGTGAGGAGCCAGGCAGAATGGAAGGTGGGAGGAGTCTAGATGGGACACAGGAAGCCTGGGCTCACCTACGGTGGTGTGACACGCACTGTCATTCAATGTCCTCACCCGTGAACTGCAGAGGAGGTACCTGAGTTGCTTCTCTCTCAAGATAACCAGGAGGTTCACCAGATACATGTGAAAATGGTATGTAAACCATTAGGTGATGGCATTGTTATTAACAGTAAATCAGGAGTTTCTAAGCATCTTGTCCTCTCTGTCTCCCTGACTGGCCCCAGACTGTTGGAAGTGACTTTAAGAACATTCCTGAGGCTTATCTTAAACTTGTAGATAGTTTTAGATTTATGTGCCTCTTCCAGTGTGCAAAAATCAGTCAAAATCTTTAGGGTCTGATAAGGTTAATTTAAAACACAAAAAAGCACACTGGGTGTGCACACAGATTCTGGAGGAGGACCCTCTGACACTCCCTCATGATAACATTACAACACTGGGGAAACTACTGGACCTCCCTGGCGTGCACATAAAGAGCTTTGGAAAATGTCTGCCACATTGTTCCAGAGAAACATTAGTTTTTTTTTTTTTTTAATATTTTTTAGTGGTACACAATTCGTTATTTACTTATCTTTATGTGGTGCTGAGGATTGAACCCAGGGCCTCACACATGCTAGGTGAGCGCTCTACCACTGAGCTCCAATCCCAGCCCATCATTAGCTCTTCTACGTATTTATTTATTTATTTTGGTACTGAGGATTGAACCCAGGGGCACTGAACCACTGAGCCACGTCCCCAACCCTTTTTTATATTTTATTTAGAGACAGGGTCTCACTTAGTTGCTGAGGGCCTCCTTAGTTGCTGAGGCTGGCTTTGAACTCCTGATCCTCCTGCCTCAGCCTCTGGAGTCAATGGGACTACAGGCATATTCCACCACACCCAGCATGTCACAGCAGCATGTTGTTTAAAATATCCTGATAGGTATCATTTTGAACAGGCCCACAGTATTTCTACCTTTAGATATGATTCTCATACCTTTATTATCGCTGACCCAACCAGAGCCAACACCCCATTATACTAATGTCACCCTGTGCACAAAACAGCTGGTAGATTGCTATTTAGAATTGTTCAGAATGCAAAATGCTTCGACACAGCTGCTTTCACACACATGTATGACATGTAACTGGGGGGTATGAATTCTTCAAAGGAATCAGTATGAGGGGCTGGGGCTGGGGCTCAGTGGTAGGGGACTTGCTAACATGGGGGAGGCACTGGGTTCAGTCCTCAGCACCACATAAAAATAAATAAAAAAGTATTTGTGCCAACTATAACTAAAAAAAAATAAGAAAAGAAAAAGAATTAGTATGAGTTTAGGGTATGATACAATGTCAGCTGGTGTCACTTTTATTTTGTGAGGGACATTCATTTAACATGCTCCTTACTGTTGAGATGCACTGTCACAGGTATAGCTCAAAACTACTTCTCTTTCTGTTTCTTTTTTTGCAGGGTGGGGTGGTCGGTGAGGGGGTAAGGTGGGGGATGGGCTGCTAGGGACGGAAGCCAAGGCCTTTTCCATCCAGGCAAGGCCTACCCCCTACCACGGGACCACAACACAGCCTAGGCCCTGTCTGTCTAATGCATCCTATTGGCACCTGAAGAGCACTGTGGAGTGTCACTTGGCTTTCTGTTTTGTGCAGAAATGAATGATCAGACTGACTTTAGCAATCATGACCGAGGCCCACATTTTCTTTTTTCTTTTGGTACCAGGGATTAAATTCAGGGGTGCTTAACCACTGAGCCCCATCCCCAGCCCTTTTTATATTTTATTTAGAGACAGGGTCTCCTTGAGTTGCTTAGGGCCTCACTAAGTTGCTGAGGCTGGTTTTGAACTTGTGATCCCCTTGCCTCAGCCTCCCAGGCCACTGGGATTACAGGCATGGGCCAATGGCTTGGCTCTACATTTTCTTTTTTAGATGACAGGATTTTAAGTGAGGATTTTATGAGAGCAGATGGTCTAAGGTATGGCTTCTACAGACAAAAATGAACAGTGGTTAGAGATGGGACATTCGCTGGGGCTGAGTCTACCCAAGCAGTGACCAAGTATGGTGACAAGAGAGAGGCCGCTCTGACGGAGGAAACCGTGGATGCTGACAATGGGTAACTTGTCCATAGCTACAGTTCTAACATATGAAAGAGAGAATTTAAATATAGGATAAAAATAGGAAAAAAAAATGAAGTGGTTTTCTCTAAGTCACGTTATAGGCTAAAATTACTCACGTGTTTAGGGAGTTGTTACATTTTGAGTTATTACATGAGGTCAAACTCTCATATAATGAAAAATGAGATTGAGTAGCTATGGATCGCTGCACTAACCCAAGACTACATACCCCAGAATCCAAATGGTACCACCTGGAGATGTGCGATACCTCAACTGCACAGCCCAAGCTGGGCTCTGTCCTAGACAACCCCCCATAACACACAGCATGGCTAACCTTTAGGCACACAGCTCTGAGTACATGTGTAAATATACAATGCGTTCAGTCCTATCTGCTACGTGATACAGAATGCATACACAGGATAGAACCCTAGACTATTTATTTTTTGTATTTTTCTTCCCCCTTTTAAGGTCCGCAATAAAGTCTACATAAGTTAGCTGAGCACAAGACCATACTTCCAACATCTCCACTTAGAATAGTGTGAGAGAAGCGGATGCTGTCAGTTTAATGTCAGCTTAATGTCAACCAAATTCTCATATTTCACTTCACGATGACGAAGATGTTTCAAGGCCAAACTAAACATCAATGAACAAAGTGTAAAAAAAAAAATAATTAAATAGATCCTCTTTTGGAGGTCGGGGGCACACACTGGGGACACTCAACCACCAAGCCCCAACCCCAGCCCTATTTTGTATTTTATTTAGAGACAAGGTCTCCCTGAGTTGCTTAGGGCCTCGTTTTTGCTGAGGCGGGCTTTGAACTTGTGATCCTCCTGCCTCAGCCTCCTGAGCCACTGGGATCACAGGTGTGAGCCAAGGCACCCAGCCTAAATATATCCTCCTGAAGAGAGAAAGACCAGGCTGATATTTCTCGATTGCTGTGTTCACACCTTTATCCCCAGCTCATTTCAGATAGTTGGTTGATGTCCAGGTATTCCTGGGAACCGTGGTAAGTGGATGGAGGATGGTTAGCCTCCTCCCCATGCACTGCATGGCTGGGATTGGAATCTGGGCAAGCTGCTGACATGCTCTTGCGGAGAGCATCCTGGACCTCCTTCCTGGGGAGAGCCTTCCCACCTCCACCCGCCTTGGCCACAACGGTTGCGAAGGGACCCCCGTGTGGCCTTTACCTGTAAAGCTACTGTTCATTTCAGGAACGTCATCCTCCTCCTCGGTCTCCGCGGGGACTATGCCAGCATTTTGCATGTCATTGTAGGACTTGGTGCGCTTCGGGGTCGACTGCTTGGAGCCAGACTGAAGGCTTTGCAAGGCATCCGTTGTGATCACTTTCCCACTGACTGGCTGGCTGGGAGGTTTGGGTGTCCCATAATAGTTTCCTAGGTGATGGAGAGACACATTTGCATGTTTCAAAAAGAATACTTTTTTTTTTTTTTGCAAGATTTCACATCCCCATCTCTCAGCGCATGAAATAAAATAAAAACCGGAAAACGAGACCCATTTCATTTCTGGGATGGGTTAGCAAAGACGGCCTTCCTTATCCAGCTAGGTCAGGGTGATTGCAGGAGCAGAGAGGAGAAGCCACACTGTTTTGGTGCAAAGAAAAAAAATGAATGAAAGCTAAAAACAAAGGAGGAGGAGCTGAATAGAAAAAAAAAACCCAAAAAACAAAAAACACTTCCATCTTCATTACATTTGAATTTCAATTGGTCGTCTTTTGCTATATGGGCACCAGCATAATGCTTGAATCCGATTTAGAGTGAGCCTCACAGAAAATCAAAATTCATTACTACCAGCACCCTTAGAGACCTGAAAAGTTGAGGTCACCTCCACTCTTCAAGAGGGAACGGGGCCACTGTTTGAAAAGAAGTGCAGTTGAGTACCACGTGGCGCCTCTTCAAGTGAATGGCAGGCCTGACTGTTGGGGACCTGCAGGGTGGGAACAAACCCTCGCAGCAGCATTGTAACAGAAAACTGTCAATCACGCCTCTAGAAACAGCCCATCCTCCCTTTACCCACCAAGTTTGGTTTATGGCTCACTACAGTGTGCTACGGCACCCTGACTGGTACATGAATTGGATTTTTGCTTTTTTTTTTTTAATTTTAATGAACAAACATTTTTAATTTCCAATAGAAACATCAAATGAGTAAGTTAGATTAGCAAAATCAAGTTCGCCTTTAAAATTGAAGAAAAAACAGCAATACTTTAAAAAGGTTGATTGATCTTTAACAAAAAGCTTTAAACAACAGTTTTATACAACAAAATAATTAAACAATGGAATAAATAATAGTGATGGTAGTGATAAGAGTTTCTTTTTGAAAACTCCCATTTAATCCCAGTGGCTCAGGAAGCTGAGGCAGGAGAGGATCGCCATTTCAAAGCCAGCCCCCCCGCAACTTAGTGAGGTCCTAAGCAACTCAGCAAGACCCTGTCTCTAAATAAAATATAAAAAGGGCTGAGGATGTGGCTCCATGGTTGAGTGTCCCTGGGTTCAATCCCCAGTATCAAAACCAAAACCAAAACACACACACACAAAAAGAAAACTCCCATTTCAAAGTAATACTGCATCATCTACATGTCCAAATATGTAACAATGAATCCCATCATTATGTATAACTATAATGCAGCAATAAAAATATGGAAATATTAAATCTCATTATATAAAATCTCAAAAAAAAAATCCAAAGCAAATTATGTTTGTTAAAGTTTTCTTAAAGAAAACACTAATTAAATAACAGACTGTTCCAATATGAACAAAATCATGAAGGTTGTTCATGAACAAAGTTTGAAAAGCCGAGTTTATAATCAATGATATTTAGCAACTACAAGATAAAAGACATCGACATTAGAATTCCACTGAATCCATTCAACTATTAAATCTTTCAGAGTAAGTCCAGGAAGATAGACAATAATACTGAATCCTTCAATAAATCCTGACCAATAATTGTAATTTGATGTTTAGTAAAGGAGAATTTACAGATACTAATAAAGCCTGTGTATGATATTTGTTCCCAATGGCCCAATGCCATTAGCTAAATCAGGCACCTCAATACATAGGCATTTTATAAGCACTTAAAAAGGCAAAGAAAAAAAAAGAAGAAAGTAATAGAAAAAAGAACAAAAGACAAAAGTTGGTCTCCATGAGACCTAGAGATGATCATTTGTTTCTATCCAACATTATCCTCATAATTCTGCTTTTTCCAGAAGGCGTTTAATAATATCTCTTTAAGATATTTTTGAATTATCAAATTGATGAATATATATACAATGACTTTGTTTGAGAGTGGTTTAACAGTCCATATCAGCAAGGGAACTCTGAATATATACTTTTTTTTCCTTTTGTACCAGGAATTGAACTGGGACCCTCAAATGCTGAGCCCCATCCCCAGTCTTTTTTATATTTTATTTAGAGACAGGGTCTCACTGAGTTGCTTAGGGCCTCTCTAAGTTGCTGAGGCTGGTTTTGAACTTGAGATCCTCCTGCCTCAGCCTCCCAAGCTGCTGGGATTACAGTCATGTGCCATCGTGCCTGGTTGAACATACACATTTTTAAAACCTAGTAGACTGAAAGGCAGCCATGTGTAAGTCTGAAGGATCCCAGGTAGGCATCTGGTAAGCACATTTGGGTCAATCACTAGGACTTTTTTTTAATAGAAGGTGATCTATCAATTTCTTAAAAAAAAAAATAAAACTTCTTTAAGATCTCCAACTTGCAGGATCAGGAAGTAAGAAGAAAGCTTGAATGAAGTCACCCCTTATATGTTTTTTGGGGGGCCAATCCTCAGACAAGAAAGAATTGGTGCACATATGAACTAAGAAATCCACTTCACCTTGCAGTTGAAGGGATACAACCTTTTCATTCCCTGAAGACTACTTTATTGGCATTTAGGAAAGCAGCACCATTTACTATTGAAAAGTCAACCTTCACAGTGAGTTAAAAAAAGAGAGAGAGATAAAGATAAAGCCCTACTGAATTTAATTCTCAATCCCTCCCATCACTGATATATCAAAACACCACATCATTTTTAGAGTGAGATGTTAAACGAAGGCTAATGTCTAAAAATAAGAACCTAGTGGAAAATGCAACCAAAGCATGGGACTCTTTACTCCTAATTTTATAATTATCATTTTATAATCCTATCACTCAGTTTCAGTGACATTAAATTGAAGTTACATTCATAAAATTATAATCATTTAAAAAAGATCAATTAAGTCTTTGACATCTGCAGTGCACGACAGAAATAAATGCCTGGAAAATAAAGTTCTACCTAAATTTGACAAATATGTGTAGATTTCCAGTGGGCACCTGCCCTCAGTTTTCAAGTTCAAAGGCTTTCTTAAGTCAACAAATGATTGGCCTTTTCCTCAATGCGACCACACGCACACACATACACACAAAAAAACCCCACACTTGTTCAAAGCTATTTCCTATTTCTAGAAATTAAGATTGGGTACAGAAATACTTATTATTAAGAGGAACTATATAAAATTTCCCTTCTGGAGCTGGGCACACACCGGGAATCCCAGCAGGTTGGGAGGCAGGCACTGCTGGCCTTCATTAACAGGACCCAATTTTTGGCCTTGACCAAGTCAAACAAAATACTTTTCTGCTGGGGATGGCGGGTGTGTGCCAGGGGTTGAACTCAACATCATTTAACCACTGAGTTACATCCCCAGACCTTTTCACATTTTATTTTGAAATAAATAAGGTCTCACTGAGTTGCTTAGGGCCTCCCTACGTTGCTGAGGCTGGCTTTGAACTCATGATCCTCCTGCCTCAGCCTCCAAAGCTGCTGGGAACACAGGCGTGCACACTGCACATAGCCCCACTGGGCTTCTTTCAGCCTTCACATGCACACTGGGCCCCCTCTTCATCTCACAGTTCCTGCCCCCACCTCTCCCTGTACCCATCTCCCTGTACCCACCCTATCCCCATCTGCTCGTCCTCATAGACCAAAGCTGTCCTTATCAGTTCTCACATGTTAACAGGGAAACACCAACGCTTCTTCTTCTCAATGCCCTTTGCTGAATTTATCAGAGTAGTTAATCAGTATCTGTCTTCACCCCTAGATGACCCGATCCACCAAGGCAGGGGCCTCACCTGGTGGTGTGCCCCTCCAACACCGTACCAGGCACACAAGGTCACTCAGCAATTCTTTACAGAACAATTAGAGATGGTGCATGGATTCTAGCCTAGGGTCCTCGTAAATACCTCTTCTGTGGATTCAGTTCTTAACAACATCACTCAGGACAGTTTTTCCCAGCCCGTCAATTACATCTGAATGACTGCCATCTGTGTCCTGTTGATTTACTACCTGCTTGCTCAACATGGGACGCTATCATTCATAAAACTCTCTCGCCTTCTCTTTACACTTTCTTTCCCTCCCTACCCCACCCTATGGAAATACAACCTGCACACACACAAGGATAATAAACCCAAGGCCTGTAATTACGTGTCTATCTTTGCCAGTGACTTTAAATAGCAGATCAGGCAGGAGAACATGAGTTAACATTTATAACCATCTTAGAGAAAAAGACATCAATATTCCTATTTTCAGAAGAAGAATCTGAGATTCACACAATTTATAAATGATGCCTGACATTAAAACAGCGATGGGGGCTGGCATGGTGGCTCAGTGGTAGAGCGCTTGCCTAGCCCGTGGGAGGCACTGGGTTCGATTCTCAGCACCAGATATAAATAAATAAAGTTGACTGACAACTAAAAAAAATAATAAAATTTAAAGGAAAAAAAAAAAAAAAGAGCTGTGTCTGCCTCCAGTGTCTATGTCCAGAAATCCCGGGGCATCTCCGGGCAGGAGAATTCAGTAAAACTTTTCTGGCTCCAGCCTCCCCGTCTTTATATGCACAGGAACAGCCAATGACAGCACAGATTTCATTTGGTTACTTTCATTATCAACAGGGAACATTCCACGGCAGAGTTTGCCAACAGAGCTTATCGCAACAGACGGCTCCCAGGGCCTGCCAAAGACCAGGACTCCAGATGGTCTCATTTTCCTCAATGACAAACAAGAACTCTCTTCACCCCTGCTTTATCTCTGGGTCCCCCAAAAGTATCCCGTTGGCAGCTGCTTTTCTACAGACCTTCTAGGAAGCAAAACAATAACATGATTGAATGCTGACATCCCCCTTCCTAATTAGCATGCAGAAATATGCAACCCATAACTCCAATTGGAAATGTCACCCTGGCGCTACACTGCTACGGCTAAGGGAAAACCAATGCTCCGAGTACATAATCAGCCCCTTCTACCCAGAGGCATTTGTAAAACAGGCATGTTTGAATCCACCCCCACTAAAGAGTCAGTCCCTTGTAAACTCTCTCCGAGAGAAGTGCCCAGGGCTAGCTGAGGCAGCAACTCG